AGGAATCCTTGCAGCCCAGAACAGGCATCAGCCTGAAAGCCAACAGGAAAAGTGAAAGAATAAGTGAACATATCTTTAAATTAAACCCTCAAATACAGACAGCAACACCCACACCCAGTGCACAGCACAAAAGTCAGCATTTTTCCCAGAAAATTCTCATTGTTTGTTTTCCCCTGCCAATCTCAGGCTCGAGTATCAATAGAGTGATACTGATTTTTTTCTTACAACAATAATGCTATATAGCAATATTTGAGGTTTTCCATTTAAGTCTTCCATTCACATGAAAACTAAGATGGGACATCCAGGACCTGCATTTCTCTGTTCTGAGCCAAGTGACACTAGTAAAAGCAAAACAAGAGCCACTATCAAAAAATAAGTAGTATGTGGTATTTATTTCCCCTCCCACCCTCCTAGGGTCTTGCTTCCAATGTAACAGTGCATACCATCTTGCGGATACGATCTAATGCCATATCAATTTTGTCTTTGCCAATAGAGTAGTGGCCACGCGCGTAATTATTTGCCGCATCTTCCTTTCCAGCGATCAGCTGTTCTGGGTGGAAAAGCTGCCGGTAGGTGCCAGTCCGCACTTCATCTGAACAAGAGAGAAAGAACATAAGCTTGGAAGAGATAATTCACCAAGGTTGATAATGTTTGCAAAACAAATGGAGCACTTTATGTTGGCAGAAAATGGTATGGAAGATCTGTATGCTGAAAAACAAAGTACAGAGGTGAGCAGTATCATCTTTTTTTCCGTTGGGGGGGGGGGGGTGCACTCTGCTCCAAGTGTAAGTTGCTGTGTTATACAAATGAATTCATTTATCAAATGAGGCCTGTGCCATGCTGTGGTAAAATTTCAGCTCTATATACTCATCAGATGAAGATCCATCAGAACTTTCAGGGGAATGACTGGAAAGAGGAGATTTGAAAGAGTAAAATAGTGGTTTCCCCTGAAAATCTGTCAGGACACTTCTGTTGTCTGATTCTTCATGCTCCTCTCTTACATCTGAATGTGAGGAAAGCACTTGCTATCAGTTAGCAAAGGAAAAAACGTCACCACAAAAAAAAAAAAAAAAGACCAGAAAGGAATCTCTAAGAAAGCTAAATTGTACTCATAACCTGTGAAGCTTTAAACAATAGTAAACTGTGGATTTTATTATTAGTAGAGCACCCATGACAGAACGCCATCCAGTTTTCATCTTTTCATTGATAATAACAAGTGTTTTTAGTATTTTTTAGTAATACCTGGTATTAAAAACTTAAAATCTGCACATTTTGCCTGCATGTTGGGATCATCCCTAATGGTAAGGGCATTGTCCTGCTATTCAGTGATCTGAACTTCAGCACCCAGAAGAGTTAACTCATTTCTTTTTTCCAAGACTAGGTCTACACTGACCTATTACAGTTTGCTCCAAGTCCACCATAATAGCACGGGGCACATATTTTCTAGAGCTTGTCTCTCTGAAGAATGTGGCAAAAGAGTCATCATCGCTGGGCTGGTCGATGAAGGTGCCATTTGGCTGAATGCCGTGCTCCAGACAGAAGAGTTCCCAACATGCATTGCCGATTTGAACTCCAGCTTGGCCAATGTGAACAGAGATGCACTCACGCTAAAAGGGGAGAACAAGGGAAATGGTGAGAAGAACCAGTGAACATCCTAAGAGTCTACAAGCTGAACTTACCTGAAATCCCAAATCAATGAACAATTACAAAGTTTTCCACAAGACTGGGGTTAATAGAAAATATTCTGATGCTTATTTACAAATAGGAAGAAAAATATTTTTCTGTGCTTAGAAAGAAACAATAATTGCAACAGCTAGAGATTTGCAGCCATGCCTACACATGGAGTACATTACACAGGATCTATGTGTAAGTTTACATAAGCCCATACAGATAAAAAAAACTGTGTATAGGTAAACAAAATAAAAACAGTAGGTCCCAGCTAAGCTATGAGAGCCAAGTCCAGTTATCTGGGACAAGACACAGCTATGCTGCCTTATTGATATATAGATAAAGCAAAGGGAATGACTTATCTTCTGATCTCTCAACCTTCTGTTGAGCATGTGTGTTGTACAGGTGGAAAACAGGTTTGTAGAAATTAAAGTAGCTAGAATTAAAGTGCCTTTAGTACCTTAATTAATTTCAACCACTGATTGTTTCAGCCCATTCCCTGGGTAATTCTAATTCAATTTAACATGTGAAGAGTTAGCTTGATACTCAAGATGACTTGATTCTCATCCAGTCTTATGGAGTATCTAGGGAAATGTCCACATATCTTTGCTCTTCACTTTAACAACTCACAAGCTAGGAGGAAAAGGCCACTAATACCAGGTTAAACATTTATTCATGTATTCAAAGTACATACAGAGTAGCTTCTAGCCAAAAAGGAAAAATAAGTTCCAACCCTTCTTTTTCTGCATATGACTTCCCTTATAATAAATTTGTTAACACAAATGTAATTGTATGTATTCAACTAAGTTTATTTACTAAGAAACTAATGCAATAGTTTGTTGCCCCCAAAATTAACGTATACTGCCCAATTTATTTCCTTTAGAAGTTTCCTATGCAGATAAGAATCTTCATAAACCCACTTTATTTTACCAAACCAGGCAGATGACAGAGATGATCAGATCGGCATACCATATAGTCCTAGGAATTCCAATTAATGAACTTGCTGAACAGTCTGTTCAGACGGGGTTCTTAATCCCTTATCCCCTCCACAGTGCCCAGAGCCTGCATACCGTACTTCGGTGCCTGTTTTCTCAAAGGTAGACCGAGTATCTTCCTGATACTTCTAAGACAGCGAGACAAAAGATTGACTGAATTTCATAAAACTTCATGTCATGAATTTTCAAAAACTACATGGATAAGTGTGAACAAATAATTCCATTTCATTTACATTAAAACAAGATTGTATTTGGAATTTTCTTTTAATGGAGAGTAAAGCTCAAAGGGCTTGTATATATATTTTGGTACATTGCTAATGTTTTGAATATTCTCATTTGTTCATCAAGAAAGAAACCACTTACCCAGCTCAGGTGATTGCAAAACCTATTTTCTGGACATAAACTTTTTTTCCATTTTATCATCTGTCTCAAAAATTGCAGCTCCACTTCTGTCTCACCCTAATTGAATTCCATTCTCCTGGATATTTCAGTTCTGCTGGTTTTTCCAGCTCTCCTGGTGATTACCCCAGGGACAGAGCTGCACAACACCTCCTCATATTCTTCTCCACCACCACCCCCCACCAGCTACAGCATAGCAAAATCTGACAGAAGAACCTGACAGAGGAATTCTAAATCTTAATCCCACTTCAAATTCCTGTATCACTGCCTTTAATGACAATGGATCACAGTTAGCCTGGTAACTGTATCAAGGCTATGTGATGCAAACCTTGATACTATAGTCTGAAGGTACATTAATTACAGCCTAATTTAGGCTAACGTACTGTGGTCCATTTAAAAAAAAATTGTTAATGCTAACTTGTGTGTCTAAACCAAAGACCAAGCTTCAATACCATAGACCTAAATATAAGCAAAGTCCTACTACCGCTTGCATCTCTGTGCGCAAAGGGAAACAAACACTGATTTAGGCTCTCCTCACTAGCCTCACAAGGTTGCGATCATCTCTTCATTACTTAAGGACTTCTTCTAAAACCAAGCTTGGAAAGGTTTTTGGTAAGATTCATCCAGCCTGTCAATTACAAAATCTTGGGTTCATTACAGGAATTACAAAATTAAGTTCCCTATCTTATGCTACACGTAAGATGAATTCAGAGAATCATGATGGCCTAGGAAGAGCACAGATCATGAATATTCATCTCTGGTCCCACTCACTGAGCCATTGTTCCAACACTGAAGCAAAAAAAGTCACTTCAACCTTCCCACCTTCACTCAGATCTTGACCAGAGTAGGGGGGAACAGGCAGCCAAGCTCATTGCTCACTATCTCGTAAAATAATCTGATTCTTTTTTTACCATGATTTCTCCTGTGTGCTTCCTTTCTTGATTGGTGGCAGCAGCTCTGGTTACTGATGTTTCCACTGATGTTGTATAAGCAGCCTGGTGCAAGGTGGCAGGGCATTCATGGCTCACTGGCAGGGGCCCTGCAGCATCACAGCGTAGACAGGAGAGGTCATAATCTCTCCCAGGCAACTGTCCCATTCCACCCACTCACCTGTTGCACCAGCAGCTTGCTTTCACCCATGTACAGGGCCCAACCCCAAAGTCTATTCTTAAGCAAGTCTTCCCAGTTAATTCTCCAAGCTAAACCTTATTTTTTTAACAACAACAACAAACACACACCCTGGTAACCAGAATTTTAACACATACAGAGCGTCTTCTCAAATAACTGCTTTCCTTCCTTAAAACTGTAAAAACTGGTGAATATGCTACTGATAACTCATTTAAAAGATTATTAACCATTTCAGAATTTCTTCATTTATATTTTCAAAAGGTGGCAGCATTTTTAATGGTGTCTTTCTGACAAAGGCAACTGTAGATGAATGGTGGACGTGGAGTTCACTTGCCTAAGTTCCACCAACTGAAATGAGCTGGGGAACAGGTTGAACTGCAAGGAATTCCACTTGACTATTTGATCATCTGTGGACAAGTTACAGGGGATTATCTCCTTTTCTCCTGGTGCTAAGACACCAAATCTCATCCTTCTGCCAGCCATTCTTTATCTTTATAACCTCTATTCATCTGATCATAGACAACTGTTCTTTGGCCTTTCAGCTGCCTACAGTATGGGCCAATAAAAGTTGTATGCATCTATCAAGAAGATGGCAAAACAAAAAAGCAAAACTATAATTTGCTCTTATATCTGGAGTTACTAGCAGAAGTTTCACATACACATGGCACACACACACATTCTCTCTGACAAGGCTTAAATAGTAAGATCTCCATGGCTGTATCTTTTCCCTCCACAATATAATGACAGTGCAGAGGAAAACAAGGCTGAATACCAGGTACTATATTCTTGGTAGTACCGGTCTTGGTCATCTCAAGGTACACAGAGACACTTACAGATTTAAAAAAAAGAAATGCTGTATCTTTCACAGAAAGTAATTACCACTCTCTGATCTCCTATGAAAAAACAGTCTTATACCCTACCAACATTAGATCTCATCAGATTCACACTGAATAAGTCCTCTACTTAATTCAAACATGCCTGTACAATGAGGACACACAGTGAAACATTTCCGAAAATTGTTTGAAAAACGTAAAGTATCAATACATTAAATGCAAGTTTTCATATACTTAATCACAGCACAAATAAGCAAGTCTACAAAGAGATAAATCAGTGTTCACTTTATTGTGAAAATTAAATATTGCAGTTTTAGTGTTAATTGCAAAAAAAACCCTGACAGCTTGTTTCTGCCTTCTTGCACTTTCATGATAAATTAAATACAATACAAATGCAAAACCAGTAGTACTCAAAAAAAGTGAAGGTTACCAACCTACACTTAAAATCAAGTTGAATGTTAAAAGTCCTGGTAAATGAGTGGCTATGACATTTAACAGCATTCTAAACATAATGTATGGCTTGCCCAGACCACTGGCCTCAACTCCCAAAATGCAGCTCTGCCATCTAACTAAAAATGTTAATTAAT